GGAGAGGAGATCACACAAGATTTTAGCAGCGTTTCTTTCTTTTTAAACTCTCTGTGCTTGTGTTCTTTAACCAGGGATGAGATGGATATTTATAGGCTTCAAGTTGATTCAAACTTGGAGCCTAAAACTTTCCCATCCCGGGTTCCCCAGGCACGGGCGGTACCACCGCCTAGTGTCAGTCTGGCTGACACTACCCTAGGCGATACCACCGTGATGGGTGGTACTACCACCACCTGGCACCTTGCTAAGGGTGGTACAACTGCCCAGACTGGCGGTACCACTGCCTGATATAGTCTCGAAGACTGTGCCACGATGGTGAGACTTCTTGGGGCACTGTTTGGGCTTCTTATTGGGCCCAACATAGTTCTTATATGGGCCTAGCTGGCCCCTAATTGGGTTTGTCCAAATCCAAGCCCAATTACGTGCTAACTACGAAATCCTAAGACATTTGCTAAGCTAAACAAGTCCTTATGTTTATTCTTCCGGCGAGCTTCCGACGATCTTCCGGCGAACTTCCGACGATCTCTCGGCAATGTTCCGGCGGACTCCCGGCAAGCTCCTGGACTTCACGATGATCTTCTTGGCAAGTTCTGATGAGCTTCTCTAGCAAGCTTCGAGACTTCTCGGTTGGTTCCTCTAGAACTTCCGACGAACTCTCGAACTCCCAACATAATCACGTCCTTGACTCCGAGACTTCATTTTGCTTTATGCCTTGCTATCGTAGTTAATCCTACACATGTAAAACACACTTCGATCTAGACAATTAATACTATGTATTAATCAAGTTGTCTGGCATGTCATTGGTCCCTCGACGCTTCGTCCGATTCTTCGATGCATCATCCTCTCTTACGGCCTATTGCCCAATCGGTCAGTTAACTCCACAACTCCGATATCCTTAGCACAATATCCGCTCTTCTTGGCCTGATGCCTGAATCCACGGCCCGAAGCTTTCTGTCGATATGTCGATCGTTCCTCCGGCCCGACGTCCAATCTTCTGACATGTTTTCCTCCGGCACAACATGATTTTTCCTTCTTTAATTGTCTCATCCTGATCGAAGCACCCTACGTTACTCAAAATGTAGATTAAAACATAAACACATATCGATTGGTTTCATCATCAAAATCCGAGATTCAACAATCTCCCCCTTTTTGATGATGACAATCATTGACGGAGTTAACTAAACTCCCCCTATCAATATGCCATATTGATAGAAACTCTTGGATTCAAAAATTCAAGCAACATGTCATGATCAAATCATGCATGACATCAACATACTTCTCCTCCTTTGTCAACAACAAAAAGGAGAAGTTCCAACTCTCATGTGTTTAGAAATACAAGTTCAAATCGTTGCATGAAAAACATAATATCAAGTTTTATCATCATACAATTTGAAGCTAGAAAATTTAGCAAGTGTTACATCATGCTTAGAACATTAAAGCTATCAAGTTTTAGATATACAAGTTTTACAACATACAAGCAAGAAAATTTAAAGATGTGCAAATTGGCATATTTGCTTTTTTTTACGATGTGCAAGATAGTATATTTTTGCATCTTCTTGAGATTTCCAACTAGAAATTTCTTCTCTTTTGAGTAGTGTGATTATTTTTGCTTCCTTTGCAAGAACGCAAGCTAACAAAATGTTACATTATTTTACAACATGGAAGCTAACAATTTGGGATGTTTAAGAAGCAAGTTCTTTCTTCTCTTTTGAGAAGTGTAATTTTTGCTTTCTTCTTGAATTGCGCGACCTAGCATCTTTTATCTCTCCCTTTGTCATTATCAAAAAGAAGGGAAAAATATAATTTTGTATCTCTTTATTCCTTTACACCAATTTCTAAATCATGACAAAGGTAAGTATTAATCTTATTTGTGTATCATTATATTTTCAATTTAAAACATGCACAATTTCAAAACCTTAAATTTCATTTTTCATGCACGATATCGAAAAATAAATAAATCATCATTATGAGCATATCATACATGATACTAAGACATTAAAAAATTTAATCAGTTATCAATATTTTGATAATAAATCAATCATCATACATGATACTCATAAGCTAGCAAATTTTATATCATTTTAGAGCATCAAAACAATATCATGAGTATTTCATGTATAATTTTATTTTATCACATTCATCATTTAAATCATTCATGATACACATCATATGCATCACATATATCATCACAATAAAAAGCATAAGTATTGCATGCATCATTCCAAATCATAAATATTTCAAATCATGATGGTATTAATGTAACAAATTGCTTCCTACCATGCATGATCATAACTTTTCCCTCTTTTATCATTGTAAACAAGAAAGAATAAGGGAAGAACAAAATAGTATAAAATATTTCAATCATTTCAAGGCATACAAGTCATAAATACAAAGACATCATATCATGAAAGATAAGACCTCTTGAATTACAAAAGACATGATTCATTTTATCAAATCTTTTCTTTTTATAAATAGAAAAAATTGTAGGTGTACAAGGAAGAGATCTTGATTAAAAAAATCTCAAGTAGTAAATCCAAGAAATCAAGATCATGATTTGAATACAAACTCATTCAAATTCAAATCGTCAAATCAAAATCATTTTCAAGAGATTCATAAAAGAATGATCAAATAGATTTATCAAACTCCTTTTTGGAAAAATCTAGAAAGTAGGAAAAATAAATTTTTCTAGGAGAAACATTTTCTCTTTTAAGTTGTTTCAATTCATGTAATTTATTTTATTTATGCCAAATAAAAATATGCATCAATGTTAAGGATCAAAAAATGAATTTCGTCATAAAAACCATCAAGACTAATAAATCACAAAAATTATCATCCATCATTTTGAAAGATAAACTTATTAATCAAGATCATTATGCATTAAATTATTAAACCTGTAAAAAGGAGAAGAGGGGTGTAAGAAGGAAGTTGATCTTCGCCTATTAAAGGAAGATCGATAGTAGATGCTGGTGGCCTCGACGGAAGAGGAATCGACAGAGTGGATGTAGGTCACGATAACCGAACCACTATAAAATTGGCGTGTTCTCTGGTTTGCATTTACTTCTTACAATTTACATAAACTACAAATTACCTTCAATATGCTCTTACTTCGTGTTTCAAGTTAGGTTTTCGAAATCGGTTTTTATCGTACGAAAGAATTTTTCAAAACCGACGTATTTAACCACTGCACTAATTCACCACCCCCCCCCCCCTCCTCCTCCTCCTCTTAGTGCCGACTCTTTTCCTAACAATTCGGTCAAGCCAAATCCCACCATAATGGGTCCGATCTCCCGCTTATATGGTAGAGCCAAAGCCCATCATAGTGGGTCGAATTATGACATGCTACAATGAACTGATACCAATACTCCCACTATGATGAAAGCTGATATGGCGGACTGATGCCAATACTCCCACTATGATAGTCAAATCAAGACTCACTATGATGGATTGATACTAATACTCTCACTACGATGGTCGAATCAGATCCCATTTATGGCGGAATGATACTAATACTCCCATTATGACGGTCAAATTAAGACTCGTTACGCTGAACCGATACTAATACTCCCACTATGACGGTAAAGCCACCATAGCAGATTGATACCAATACTCCTGCTACGATAGTTGAATTATGACTCACTATAATGAAAGCCTCTATGGTAGACTGATAGCGATCCTCTCATTCACACGATCAAGTACCTACCCTCAAAAGTGGAATAGGGGGTAGGCCCAAAAGAAGACCTAACCTCCGGGATAAAAGGGGGAGGCAAAAACGGAGAAGGAAACCTCTTGCAGAAGGTCAAAAAAGGAGAGAGAGTAAACTCCCGTGCAAACAGTGGAGAATGAAGATAGAGAGAAAAGAAAAAAAAAAAAAGTTCCCTTAAGTCAACATCTGTCACTCCTACAATCGCCCCTACCAAAGAGCGTTGTCCGCCTCGATGGACCTTGCACCAACCATCACAACCTCAGCAAGGAACTCATAGCAAAAACAACACTCATGCAAGTGTGTAGTAAATACAAGCAAAATGATGTACTTCGAGACTCCTTTGTAGAGCCCCAAGCATACCTTCCGTGGGATGAATGATAGGGAAAAGCTTAGCCCTACCAACTCCCCTTACCACTTGGGCCTATAGGGATCTGCCCTATCTGTCCTAACTTTCCAAAATGGGCATGCAAGACCCACTCCTTATTGATATCATAGTTGAAGAAATCATGCCTCACATTAATGATTGGCAACATGCCCTAGCTTCCCTAGTGGCCTCGTAGCTGACATCTCAACAGAAGTCATGCCTTCGCAATAATGACTAATAACATAACTTGGCTTCACCAGCCTTTCCTTCCGGATGGCCGATAGAAGGATCACTCCCTACCTAACCTAAAACAATAAGGGAGTCAGCCTAGAGGCATCCCAACGGTCTGTCTAAAGTGCCAGTAGACACATTCCAACAAGTCACCCTCATTAATACCTCCACCATACAAGATAATGGGGGCCTTGGCTAATACACGTTTAGATTGCTCAATGCCAAAGTATAAAAGCTAAGCCCTATACCAAGATGGGGGAGGGGGTGGGCAAGAAATCCTCTATTCTCTCATTTACACTACTCATATTATTATCTTTCTCTCTCTTTGTCTTTCATTTACTTAAGCATCAAAGGGGTTAAGCAATGATACCCCCAGCACAGACCAATTGTATAGAACCCTTGATGCCATCCAAATATGTGGCCAGGAGGCGGTTCAATAGCTAGGAGAATCCACCTCTTGTTTCCGGTTTCATCGTACCAAGATCAGGTTGCTCTCAACGAACCACCTCGCTAACGGGATCTCTACACCGATTGACTATATTAACTCCCCTCGTTAGTACAAAGAATTCATCGAACCATATATTGGACAGTGAACCAAACGGGTCGATCCACCCGTTGACAGTCTCTATATCTCAACAGTAACCCGACTGAATCGCCAAATTTGACACTAAACCGCCTGTCGAACTGAATTGTTTATAGACCGTCCGTTCAATTAAACTCTCCGGTCGGGGCCGGTCTCCGACTCGGTATCGGTCTACTTGAACCCCTGAGACACCAGACCACGCCCTCCCGTCTATATCCTCGATTACTTCGTAGCGAAGTCGTCTTCCTCTTTCGAATCCCCTCGGTTTCTCCGTCGCTCCTTGTGAGGTTTCCATCTCTTGCCCCAAATTGTTATGCTGTTTCTCCTATTAATTTTCTATTTGTTCTTTATATTATTTGCATCCTTGATTTCAGTTACATCGAACTACGCTACCTGTCCTCTGATTCCTAACAATTTTAGGGTTTTTTTATCGCTAGTCTCCTCTAAAAGATCACATATTTGATTGAAATTTAGGAGCTTTTTTGCTAAATTTTTATTTTTTTACTTAGGGCAAAGCATCGGTAGATATATTTCCATGTCGGGATAAACTAATTGTAGATGAAAGTGATTCAAGTGGAAATCTAATTAAGAAGCACGAAACTACGATTACGTTGAAGATAAAACGAAAATATGATGTAGGTGGATAGATTTTATGCTTGATGGATGTCTTTTTGGTCATCTGGATTAGTAGGATCTCAGAATCTTACCCGGCTGTCAGTACTGGACAATGCCATGCCAATACAAAGTGCCAATGTGCTGATGATCTGCAGTGTTTCTCCTCTCGAGTGCTTGAGAAGGAAGAAAGTATCTTTCATACATGGAACTGGGGAAGATAGCTGGGAAGAACAAGGAGAAGTCTTTCTATCCCGGTGAGTTAGGTAGAATGTAATTGTCTGCAGGAGAAGTCCTTTTGGGGCATGTTTTTCCTGGCCAATTGAGCAAGCAATGGAACATAGCAAACTATACTTCAACCAGTAGCTATCATGGTGGAGTAGGGTAGAGAGGAGCAGTTTCTGTTAGGCTAGCTATCATCTGGCTGACTTGGTGATCGACTGTTAAATGGTCAGTAAGGCCCTTGTGAGCATCCCATCAATGGTTTATGTGTTAGGGCATGCCGGCATGGTCACTATGATTTGAAATTTGGGTAATATGCTAAATTACATAGTCCAAGGGAAAGTAGATCATGTGGTCATCCAGATTATGGTGTCTGTATATTCCTTGTGGAGAATTCTAATTGTAAAAATATAAGTTCCATGGGAGGTCTCCATATAGATATGTTTATCCAAGTAATTTTTTATATGAAATTGTGCTATTCTTGGCCTCTGCAATATGGTTTTAGCTTGACCTATACAATAATGTTTTGGAGGAACTAAGGATAAGTATCAGTTAGATGAGCACAATTGCAATTGTCCTAGTTGATATTGACAATTTTCCTCAAATTTGCTTATTTTGGCTGTGTTTCATAATATTGTGCTCAACATTCATTGAGAAAAAAAAATCTAGGATCATTAAAAGGTTAGTGGTCTTAGTTTCATATTTCTGATCATTCTTTCAAGATAAAGATGGCTAATCTTGAGGGCTCTGCATGCTAGAAAAATAATTTGGCTGATGGAAATTAAACCTGAGGCCAACCAAGAGAAACCTATGTGTTTGGGTTGTTTGTGGTTATTGAGATATACTAGCTGGAAAGCATATAAAGTTGTGGAGAAAGAGAGTTGGACTTTTGTTTCTTTATTGGCTAACTTCAGTTTAGGATTACATTAGGTAAAATAGATCTAATTGGATATTGTATTTGGCTTGAATTGGATATCGTGATAACAAATCAAGTTGAGGAGAGTGGATTGGATTGAGGCACCCAATTAGGTCAAAGTTCAATTTTAAAGAAGTCAAATTTAGTCTGGTTGTGCGGAGTATCACTAAAGAAGATATTACTCAAGTCAATGGATTGAAGATAGAAAATGGGGATTATACTAATAAGTCATATACAACAGATCACCCCTACAAAAATGTAAAACAGCAAGATACACTTCTAGTCATAGAGCTCTTAGGTTGAAATTAACTGATTCTCACGATATATTTTTTATTACAACATTAGTAATTTAGACATGATCATTTACCAAATAAGGGTCCACCTTATAGGCTGTAAAGAGACCTGATGCGATCAATGTCTTTTCTTTCCTGTTTTGTATTATAAACCTATGTAGATAAGCTATGAGTTCTATGGTTAATTAAGACTTCTGTTTGACCTAACTTTGAGTTTACAACTCAAGTTGCAGTTAAATTATTAACTTATTTGGTTGTGTAAAGCAACCACTAGGATTATGGTTGGAAGTTATCACAAATTTCGAACAAAATATGGAATCATCATACAAACCAAGCAAACACCATATTGGCATTGGAGGCTCAAACCTATCTGAATAACACAGTGTTTTGTATCCAATTAAAAGATTAGGAATAATTGCTGATAGTCTTTTTTTAATAAACTTTCAAAATGAAAAATGACTTCTTTCTTGATATAGAAGTTAGAGTTGCTTCTTAACTAGTGTGTTTCTATTGCGAAAGCTGTATACAATCCATATTGTTATCCAAGTTATATATATATATATATATATAGTTCCAACTTATTATCATACATTGGTATCCATGTTGATTATTATTTGTTAACTTCTTTGTGAAGTTCAAGTATCATAATTAGCTCCCATCGTAATGCTATTTTGATTCAATGGTTTTTTCAGGATATCTGAAGAGCGAACTACTTGGATCTAAGCAAAATGGTACATACAAGAGGAAATTTCAGAGCTTTAAATTTTGATAACTTTTACTATTAGAGCTTTTCATTATGAACTTGCATGCATGTTGCCTAAGCTTCTCTGTGTAGAATATGAACTTTTGACATAGCATCTCTATTGTCAATTACTTTAAGCTTCCCTAAGTAATACTTAGACTTTGTACATGTCATCTGGTTGGTTGTTGGATGCTGAAGGATGGATGTAGACAAGTTTATCGTGTGTTGGATATTTATGGTGCAACAAGAACATCCTTTTCACCTCCAAGCAAGTGTCTCGCATGCCAGCACATTGCAACATGGGGCACATGTCAGCTGAATCAGCCCAAGTAACAATAAGAAGGCTTGGGTGTGCTGGTGTACCTTGGGTACATCACCAGCCTCTGTCATGGTTTTGTGATGGCACAATATTGAATGATTGGTATGCAAGCACTACGGCATCAGATAAGGGCATAGCAATATCCAGTTGCATATGCAAAAAATAAATTGGTACTCATCTAAATGAATAGGATTCTGTGAGTAAACTTTTAGATAATTTCTAGTATGATATGATGAACAAGGAAATCATCAAACAAACTATGATCAGATTTAAAATATAATTGAAAGCGAGTCATAAAAGGTATAAACATTGTAATCAGCATTCAATGAACGAGAAGAGGTGGTCGAGTATCAGTGAAAGAGAAAGTATAAAGAAAGCCAGAGAATGTTAACAAAGAGGAGATGTAGAGAAGAGGAATAATGAGAGGTAGAAGTGGATTTGGTGTGGTTAGTCAATAAAGCTTTGAAAGAGGAAGAAGGGAAGGCATAGGTTAAGGTAGATGCTTGGAAGGACTCTGTGGGAGAGAAAGGCACATGCTGGATTCATGATGTAACTTAATAGCAACCTCTATTGTTTCATTCATTGTAATGCATGTTTTCATGTCAAGGCAGTGAAACTAGGGTTTAATGCATTAATTAGGTTCAACAAGTTTCCAATATTATAGCAATTCATTAATTACAGGTGCAAAGTCCCTGTGATTCAGAATATTTTTGTCAAAAAGGAAAAATTAAAATAGTATGATGTAATCCAATTAAAATCTAATAAAAAATAAAAAAGACACTGTCTAGGAAATATTGAAAGAATGAGACCTCAGTTACTGCTTTTTGCCTGAGGAAGTCATCATCTAGGCGATATTGAAGGGGTTTTGGACCAATGCCAAGTGACTTGTCCTCTTGATTTGAGTGGAAGGCGAGTCTACAGAACCAATGCTTCTAAGATTAACTTTAAAATCTTGATATGAAATTTACAGTAAATACTAATTTAGATTTCATGTGTAATCCTGGTCTCTAATCTCTGATCTAAAATTATTCATAGTATTTTGATTGTTTTTCTTTATCTTTATATGGACAAGCAAAGTGCCCAAATGATTCCATTCCATTAGATTATTTGTTTCAAATCAATTTAGATAGTTTTTAAAAATAATTATAATTAGATTTGTCAAATTTATGAGATCGAAATAGGGAAAAACTTATTAATCCCGAGAGATTCACGTGGGTCTTTACATGGCAATACAACTTCCCTTTCAAAATATATGCTTTCTCTATGATTTTAATATTTCTCACTATGATTATAGAAGTTTATTTTTTTTTCTGAATTTCAGTATCAGAACATTTCCATTTAGAAGTGTAGTAAGCTATGTTTAAGAACTAACATCTACCGTGAATCATGGTCTACTAATTGCACACATATTAAAATCTGGTCGATGGGGATGCATCCAGAATTAATAACCTAAAACTAAGTAATTTTCTTTGTTTGTTACATATGAAGCACAAAATTCATGCTTGTAGGATTTGGTCAACTATTTGCGTCATTAATTAACATGGTATATTTGGGAAACATGAAAGGTTGAGATTTTTTAGGAAAGAAGAAAAATATCAGCTAAAATATGAAGATGGAGTTGGTACCTTGAATATTTTACGATTCACTAATTATGAGTGAGTGCCCCATCTCAGAAAAACTGTCCAATAGCTCCACTCTAAATCATAGTGGTAGTCCACATTGACAAAAGCAACTCTACTGTATTTGCCTCCAATCCTGACCAATGTTCTATGGTCTTTTGCCAAGTTCTCACGTTACAATTCATGCTACAATGCTAACTACCATAAATGAGAAAATTCTTGCTGATCTAGAATTAACTCCTTATTATCAGCAAAAGAGTATGCGTATGTATTTGCCATTAGTAAAGTCTACCCCACAAGTAACCAAAAAAATCAACATGCATCTCTCTGAACTTATAAAAATGGCTAAGGAACAATTAGAAGTCTGACTTTCTGATGAAAGATTCAAACTTTCCCTAGGATATTTTGCCAATAGGATCCCTCATTGTAGCACTCCTGCTAGATTAACCAGGTACAACTCCATTGCTATTGTCGTGTTTGTACTGAGATGTATTAAGTCATATCTCTCTCCCCTGCTCGTACATCTAATAGTGCTTCATACATACTTGAATTTGTATAGCGAGATGGGATCATCATCATCATCTTCCCTGTATCTCGTACTCATCATGGACAGGTTACTCGGTTGCCGACCTATTTAGTTCTTCCCGGTGCTTATTGCTTAAGCTTTAGGCTTTTCACTGATCCATTTCAATATTGAGAGTTTGTCTGATCTTTTGAGGGACCTTTGTAAACTTGACGATGTTAGGAAATCTACTGATTAATAATACTCCAGTCTTATTATTCCTCTAATGCGACTGTGTTGATTATTGTTGGAGGTTTTCCTGACAAATAGTTTTATTTGATCATGGAGGTTGAATCACTTGTTTCGAACGTCTTGCAGCACCAATTATCCCCAGATTGCTGTAGAGATATGTTCTATAGTCGGTTGCATCTTTATCTCCTGTTGCATGCTCATTACTTATTCTGGTGATTAATATTGCCATTGCCCATTATTTCTGCATTCTTTTCATTTTAAGTTTATTGTTCTATGACCTGGTCATTTACTTAATTGGTTTACAGTTAATGCTTTAACATTTCTTTTGTTTTTTGTATCAGTTCTTTGAAGGATTTGGTTATCATGGAAATTCATTTGAGCAGACTTACCGTTGTTACCCTGCTTCTTTCATTGACAAGGTTTGAGGTCCTTTCTTCTAATAATTATTTTCTTATTCTTCCTAAACAAATAAAATTGTTCAAAGTCCTCAAATAGAAGAACCATGTCATTTGACTATCATTTATTTTTTCTGTGAACAGTCATAAGACACTTTTTGTGGAAGTGATATTCCCTGTTTTCTAACATGTAGAGGCTGCCTGTTGAGAAGATGATTTAACTAAGTGTTTACATTTTTTCTGTTAAGGAGTACTGATATTCTGTTTCTCTCTGCAGCCACAGCTGGAAATTGGTGATAAAAGTAATTCACTCGTGACTTTGCTCTCTATTGAACTATTTGTTGTTCGTATATGCACTATTAACTAAAATAATCTTTTGGGCTTTTTGTTCTTTCAGTTATAATGCCTCCCTCTGCTCTTGATCGTCTTGGTTAGTTGAACTATTTTCCTTTCATTTAATCTCTTTTTACATAATATGGTAAAATGCACTATGCACTTATTGCTTCTGCAACAGCTTGTTTTCATTGTCTAGTGGGTGATCTGTGGTGGTACTAATCACCAGATATATCATGCTGATATTTGTACTCTGCAGCTTCTCTACACATCGATTACCCAATGTTATTTGAGCTGCGTAGTGTTGAAACCGAGCGAGTTTCACATTGTGGTGTTCTAGAGTTTATTGCCGAAGAAGGCATGATTTACATGCCGTATTGGGTAGGCAGTACTGAGAATATTTTCTTGGTTTATTTTCTTTTAATTTATATATTTTTAATTCTGTTTCTGCTGAATGTGAAGTCTGTTATCTAATGTGCTCCTCATTTTTCAGATGATGCAAAACTTACTTGTACAAGAGGGAGATATAGTTCGTGTTAAAAATGCCACGCTTCCCAAGGGTACATATGTGAAGCTACAGCCACATACAAAGGACTTTTTGGATATCTCAAACCCCAAGGCCATGTTAGTGAACTTTTTGATGCATTGTTAATTCAACCAAAGGCTCCATCATCCCTTCTGCATTTGCTTTAACATGGATGTCTTTTGGTAATATGAATAATTTGCTACAGTAAGGCCACTAACAAGATGTTCTTGAAAATTTGCAGTTTGGAAACAACTTTAAGGAATTTTTCATGTTTAACAACTGGTGACAGTATCATGGTAGCATATAACAACAAGAAGTACTACATAGATATTGTGGAAACAAAGCCCTCTTCTGCAGTTAGCATTATTGAGACAGACTGTGAGGTTGACTTTGCACCACCACTTGATTATAAAGAGCCTGAACGTCCACAAACTTCTGCACCTATGATCAAAGCACCAGTTCAAGGTTTCAATGCACACTATCCTTTGTTCTTCCCATCTTAAGAAATCGTATTTTCTTTATTTTTTTTGCCAGATTTGTCCAGATTTGCAGTGTTCTTTGCTTAAAAGTTTCTTGATGGGTAGTTTTATCATATTTTAGCTATTTCAGTATTTTAATTAATTGCTTAATATGCTTTCTTTTTAATTATCATAGTCTTCCTAGATTTGTGCTGCTTTATAATCAATTGTATGTAAACCTTGTTTCTTAGTAAATATTGCACAGTAGCTATGGGCCTGCAAATTGTATACATAGGTGCATGGCCAAACTACCAGACAATCTGCATAGGCATGCTTCATTCTAGGCCTTGACATGAGAGATTTCCTTGTTTTTCTCCCTTTTTTTTTCCCTATCCATTGTATCTTGGTTGAAGTTTGATAACAGTCTTGTTTGCTCTCTTTTTTTGCTTTCCAATTCCTCCAGCACTTCTGGTTGTACCATTTGACAATACAGCACCACATGTAGAGCATTTTGTTCCAGTTGCAGGCCGGCACACTTTCTGTGACCAAGACTTAAATCCTTGTGTTAAAAAATGGTGGGAAATTTGTTCTGGTGATATCCATATCAGCTGCTCACATTGTTGCCCATACTCTTGTATTCTCAATTTTTGTGCCCATACTGTCTACAGTTAGGTGTCTTGGACATTAGTCTATATAAAATGCTTCAAGGGTTAAAATCTTAGCGGCTAGATCAGTATTGTAACAGTACTGTACAATATACTGAATATTATTGCAAGGTGTTACTGGTGAGAACAAGAGAGAGAGAGAGAGTGAGGGAGAGGAGATGGGGGAAGAAGAGGAGGTGGTGGTGAAGAAGAAGAGGAGTTGGCAGCAGTGGTAATGGAGGTGGTGGCAGTGGGGTAGATGAAGGAGAAGAGGAGAAGAAGAAAAGGTGGCCGAGGACGAGAAGGCATCAATGGAGACTAGAGAGTAAGAGAGAGAAAGAAAAAGGATAAGAGCATAAGACAACTATCAATAGCTGTCAACAAACTGAAAAAACAGTTATTTGGTACCAATACCTGGCAGTAGGTTTACCACCCATTAAGCTTGGTGATAGATCTGGTACAGTGAGCTTTCTAGGCAGTAAGCTCGATTTCAAACGGACAAAATTGCTGCAATTTGTGTACGAGTGAGTCATCAGATCAGTAAATACAAAACAATATTTGAAACTTTTAAGTTTAAACCATGGTATGCATACTCTGTCCATTTTTATCCACAGATATTCCTTTCTTGGCAAGGCATAAAGTCTTTAATATAAAAATACATCAAAAAATTTACTATTTTGTTAGGCTACAGTGTAAATTGGCAAACTGTCTTAAACGATATTCAAAATAATTCCACATTTTTAGTACAAGAATACTTATCTATCTGGGTTTTTTTGGAGCAGGCATTTCTGATTTGCCTGGAAATGCATGCTTCTTTTGAGTTGCGAACTATTGTGCTTGTAAGTTTGTGTGCTGGAATCCTGCTTGCCAGCATTTTTTTCAGTATTCTAGAAACCTGCATGCTAAATGTTGGGATTCTAGGTAATTCTGGTCATGCTAATTTGGATTCATGAGTTTCTATCTTGACATTTCTTATGTTTGTTTATAAGGAAATAGTGCATAAGTATTGATCAGCAAATCCTGCTAAACCTTGCTTTTTCCTCTTGGTTATCCTCTGAATAGTCTAAACTATATGCACCAATTTTGCTTCTTGTGCTTTCGAGTACTTGTTTGATAGGATGTCATGAACTTAGTTGGTTTTGCCTAAGTCGTGCGACACTTTTACGTGTCCGTCCGTAAAGGTCAGCCTCCCCGAAATCTCCTATGGTCCCTTCGCACCTACAAAAGAGAAAACGGGTTAGAGAAAACATTTCACTCGGGATCCACAAGCAATCATTTCAATAAATACTTCATAGCCAATGTAGATTACAAACAGACTTCACAAGATCGTTCAAAGCTTTGAACGGTCGCACAACAAAGGGTCCAAAATGGTCCACTATAGACCGAAATCCCTACAAGTGCTCATATGACACAACCCTTGTTTGAATGCTTAAGATGATCACTAAAACCAACCAAAATGGGGCTGTTAAACTTATTATCAGCCCTTTATATGCTGTCCAAAGCATGAACAAAATCGAAAGACACAGACATATATGAGCATTACATCAAACACCCCGTTTATAGTTTTGTCTGTGATATTTTTCCTCACTTATTCTTTTGACGTCCTCGTCAAAGCCTTTGCAGATGCTGCATCTCCTCGCCTTTGTTGAGTTTTCAATCTTCTGCTTCAGTTGCAATATGTCTCTTGGCCCTCAACTGCACTCCACGTTGTTGTTAAGTAGTTGAACTTTGATCCGTCATGTTGCTTCAACTCGTCGATGACTCTAACTCTGGTGTAGGGTCAATTAAGTTGTGCTGATCCCTGTTAGTTCCTGCGGATCCCTTAGATGAAGGAAAAGACCATCCTTGGTATATGCAGTCTCTCAAATACTTCATATCACTTGAATTGGGTGGATGCTTGTTAAAACTTTAACGAGCATTGCCTCGCAGACTTTAAAGTTTTTGGGTCCTTCCTCTGTAAAATTTGCCCATCGATTATTCTTCCACTTAGTTGTCACTTCCAAGTAGGTTCGCATCACTTCCTCTTTCGATAGGCATTCTATTGGGAAATGAAGCAGATAATATATTCTCAGTAGCATTGATCACCATTGGTGAGGTTTTAATAACTATTGTCTTCCACTAGATTTCTTCGAAGGGTCTTTGAGCTTATGCAGAGTTCCTCTACTGGATATATAAGAGAATTGGGGTATTCAGTTTCATCAATTCTCTTAAGAGTTGAGAAGACAAAGGTTACTTGACTTCGCCCGCCTTCTCGAGGATTGTACTTCATGCATCGAGTTGGTTACTAGCCTTTGCTGGTTATTTGCTCACATTTCTAAAGCACTCAAAGTGTTTGTACTCCTTGTATTGAGTTAGCTACTATGATTTACCTTCTCAATGCAATCGAACTTTTGGAATGCAATAACTTTTCACCCCAATTTGGAGTAAGTCTCTAATAGTTTTGGTCACCTCTGGGATTGTACCGCCTTCTCTATCATTTCTGCTGCCTACTCCTTTGAGTAGTAAAGGTACAATACTCCATACTGCCTACTTCGTTCCTTAGTCGAGCCCTCTTTTATCGACCCGAAGTCCTTTGCTTTCGGCTATCTTGATGAGAAGCTCATTAACACCAATTTTACGAAGTTCCTTGGCCCTTGCCCTTCAACCTTGTCTTGGTATTTGGGGTTTGTCTTTACATTCTTCACCTCCTCGGCCCCTTTCATGACCAAGCGCTCTCACTCTATGAGAACAAAGGATCGATGACTTCACGAAATTCTTACCTCTGCGATACCATGGCATTGCCATGCTCATGGCTCTACTATCTGTTGCATCGCATTTGCGTCCCCTTCTTCGTGATCGATAGATCTGCCTCTGTGGCACTGTGGCACTCCTCCGAGTCCACCTCCATTCTAACCGATGCTTGATTTTGGGTAGCTAAGTCCCTCTGGACTCATCTTTCTCGTTATTTTCAACTACCTGCTTCAACACCTCTGTGTTCTCCGAGTAGTTCTCCTTGATCAATGGAAAGATAGACTGCAACTCCCATGCATGGCCTTCACCATCATGTTATAAGGCTTATGTCGATTTTGTTCTCCTTAGCTTCCTTGGTGGCAACGTTCGTTTACTCGGCCTTGTTCTCTGACTTGTCGGGCTCCCTTAAGCGAATATGAGCTCTAGAGCAGTCCAACTCTCCAGTCGCTCCAATCATACCTCTGCACGATCAAGTCCCCCATAGGATTCACTAGTACTTACATTCAAAATTCTCCCTCGGTGGTATACATATCGTATTGCCACGAATTATTCCACCACGATCTGCTACATCATGTCGCCTCTTGATGACATCTCCATTGCATTCTGATCATTGTGAAATGAACTTGGATTGCGATCCCGCAATGTGTGGCCTCTACTAATACATTGCAGGGCCTCTTCTACCTTCAATTGTATTCGCTCCTTTAGCTATCAACCTTCGTCCACCTGCTCTCGGGTCACACCCAGACAAAGCACAACTCTAAGACAATCCATCGCCTAATAGCTCTCGAATTCCACCGACTTCGCTGAAATTGGTCCACCATTGTTTAGATCCTGGGCCTCTGCCCCACCAGCATAATCTCCACCTGCGCACCGCTTTCTTCATAACAACTCGAATGGCAGCACTGTGGTGTATTCTTCAAGAATCCCCACCTTCGCGTCCCCTTGCCCCATGCCAAGGTCTTATGAACCCAACTTCGCCTTCGCAAGTTGAGTCGCCTTTTTTCCTCCATCAAATGTTTCTTCGAGATAAGGTGCATGTGCCTCGAAGCACCCTTCATCTTTGGCACCATGTAGGATGAGTCTGCTCCATCAAAATGAGGGACCCATGGAACGACATGATCCCGCTCTTACCTCTACAAGAGTTCATGTCCTTGACCTCTGTCCAAGGAAAGCTTCATGCCTTCACTCCATGTTCTATCTTCTATGCCGACTCTTTTTATGCGGCTTGGGTACTTCACCAAGTTACACCCAAGTTGCTCCACTCCTCGATTTGCATTGAGTTGATGGTGGCCCTTGCCCCCACCATTCTACAGGTCAGCCCTCTATTGAGTCTGATCTCTATATCGGCTTCAAGTATGTCTTCATTTTGTGTTGTCTTAGGTCGCTCCCCCACTTGATCTCACAATGCATTACCTCATGCGAGATCATGCGACAACTCCTCGTCGCTCGCTCGGTCCGTTGAGCTTTGTGGAGTTGTTATCTTGAGGTACTCCTCAACATGTGCAATCCGTTGCACGTGATTCTCCCTCTGGAGAATCGAGACTTATCCCTCCTAGATATTTATCCCATTGGAGCAACTTCTCTCTTCGTATTCTTTCCTTTAGAAGTTTCGGAGACCACCATCCCGTTAGAC